ACGTAACCTATAAGGGGTTACCTTACCTATTACTCCTATATACGCTTATATCGTTTCTACTAATAGATTAAAAGCAGTATATTATAGTAGAAATTACTACTAGTAGAATTACTTAGTACTCTTATATACGTTTAAATATTTTCTACTAGTAGAATTAAAGCGGTATATAGTAGTAGGAATTATAGGTAAGGCAGCCGCTTATAGGTTACGTAAAGAGCCCTAAGGGATAAAGCTAAAAGTTAAAATAATAAATAGTAGGTAGGTAGTAGCGTTAGAAACTAAAAGTATATTAAAAGGTAAGTAAAGAAAGTAGCTATTTACTTATTCTTTTTTATCGTAGACTTATAAAGGGAATTAAGGGGAAAAAAGGTAAGAACGTAGCTAAAGTAGCTAGAGATTATAGGGTAAGAGACAAGGAAGGGAATATAATACTAGGCTATAGCAACGATAGCGCGACCCCGGTCCCGGCCGTTTTTATCTTATAAACGTTATCCTTAACCGGGCATTCCCTAGCTACCTAATCTCGGCGGAGCTTACGATATACTTCGGGCCGCCGGCGGGCATCGTGCTAGTCTTAGAGATAACTAAGGACTTCTTTTACTTTATCGGATGCCGGCTAGGACGACCCTACTAACGCCGATTAACGTTAAGATCTAGGCGTAGCGGAAGCGGCTATAGCAGCGCAACGACGTTAGCCGCGAGGGCTTACCGTGCGCCGCGGCCTTTGCCTATACCGACTATAAGGTATAGGGCTAGAAGCTAGAGGGCGTAGTACTAGAGGGCGTAGCGCTAGAGTTTTAAGGGCCGGGGAGGGACTATAGTAGAGGGGAGGGCCGTGCCGTCGCCGTATAACCTATATAGCCTATATATATAGCTATCGCGGTGCCCGACGCTCGACGACGTCGGAGGTATAAGAGCGGGACCTAGTAGGGAGCTAGGTCTTTAAGGAGATAACGACGGTATAGGCTTATATTATTAAGGTTCTACTATTATCTAGGAATTATTAATAATATTCGCGTCGCTTTACTTATCGCGATAAATATATCGGTTAAGACCGAATCTTAGTTAAGGGTATTAAATAATATTCCGCCTTAGTTAAGAAGGTATCCCGACCTATATAAGTACTATTCTTATATATATAACTAAGACCTTCGTCCCCTTAACTTTAGTAGTAGTTAAGGCTAATAAACTCTTTATAACTATTATATATATAGTATTTCTTATTTCCTTTTAATAAAAGGGACTAACTCCCCTTAGCCGCGACCTTATTATAATAACTAAGATATATAATAAATCCCTTACTATAGCTAATACGCTTTAAATAAGAAGCTTAAAGAATTAAAAATAGGGTATATATAAAGTAGACCTAGTATATAGTATTAATATATAGCGCTTAAGGCGGAATAAAGATAAAATATAAGATAAGATTATATATTATCGAAAGTATAATAGTTAATAGCCTCCCTTATTAATTTAGTAGTAACCTAAACTAACTTTCTTAAAAGTCCTTTTAAATTAAGGTAAGAATTAAGCTATAACTATTCTATCTATTACTTTCTCCTATATATTATTTAACGGCGCTTAACTTTTTATTATTATTTATACTTAACTTACTTTAATAATCTAAGCGGGACCCTATAAACTAACTAAATATAGTTCCGAAAATAATCTAAATACTTAAAGGTCTCTTTCTTATATTTAAGATAGTTATATCTAATTATATTATCGCGCTTCTTAGTATATTCCCGTTCTATTAAGTGCTAGTTATTAAAGTAGTTATTCCTTATTATTAAACGATACTATTAAAACGTCCGCTCTCTAAGAGGTAATTACTTATCGCTAATATAGTCTAGATACTAGGTCGCTTCTATAAGAAGCGGGAAGGGATCGGGTCTAGGCTTTAGCTTAGAACTAGCGTATAGCTTAGGTAACTCTTACTTAATAAACTATCTGACTTAGGCTCTTAGCCGGGTCTAGCTACTCTTTCCTATCTCTTTCTTATTATATAGAGCTACTATAAGGTTAATAGCCTCGATTTTATACTAAGAGATCTCCTCCTTAGTTTAGTTCCTAGGCTAATAGTAGAAAATCTCGGCTAGTCTAGCGCGCTTAGGTATAATAAGATTAATAGCTAGCTCCTTATATTCCTCTTCTACCTCTTCTTAAGCTTATATCTCGATATCCTAGGTTAAACGGTAGTAAAAGTAATACTTACGATATCCTTTTACGATCCTCTTCTTACGCTCTACCCGCTTAGTCTTAATCTTATTTATAAGTTTTCGGATATCCTCCTTATCCTTATAGCCGTCGATTCGATACCGTCCCTACTTAAGAGTCGCTCGCTTCTCTTTTAATACTACTATCTCTAGGTCTAGCGGCGTATTAGCCTATACCTTATTAGGCACTATATCCTTAACGGCTTAAGGGTTATAAGTAAGGCTAATATATATAAATATCTAAAGTAGTTTATTCTACTTCTCCTCTTTTAAGAAAGTATTTTAGATACTAAACTAAGCAATCTTATTTAAATATATACTATAGAAAGTAGTAAACCTAGGGTTATAGCGTATTATTTAGTTATAGACTATATTTAGTACGTCGCTTAGAGAGCTAAACTAGTTAGTATTACCGCTTATCTTAAAATACCCTCTTTATTAGCTAGTCTATAAGGCAGGGCTTAATATACTATTAATAGCGTTTATAGCACCTCTCTAAGCGAATCTTAGCGTTTAGAGCTTCTTATATCCTAAATTAAGGCTCTACCGACCTATATTATAGTTTAGCTTAGAGTATAGTATAGCTTTATTAGCGGAAAGGGTAGTATTATAAACTTACTAGAAAACCGGTACCTTAAGTATTAACTCCTGTTACTAAAGTAGCGTAGATTACGTTAGGCCCTAGACCTTTACCTTAAATATATAGGATATATTCGTTAAGCTTTATATATTAAACGTATAATTATATAGCGCTAATGCGATAAGAACTATAATAAGGTAAAATATTAGCTTCTTAGTAAAGGTAAAGAAAAAGATAGTTCTAACTTATAATAATTAATATATACTATAAGACTAATCGACTTAAGCGGCTTAAGGTATATAGTTTAAGCTTATTATCTACTCCCTTATAATTAATAAACTTAATAGCTATAACTAGGATAGAATTCCTAGTAGTAAGGTAACGGACGATTATTATAAAGATATCCTTATAATAGAGAGCTTTAGGACGACTATACTTAGTCGTCTCTTATATAAGTAGCTTAGCTAGCTAATAAGATACTTTATCTATCGCCTTATTTAACTTTTTTTCGCCGTTAGTTAACTAAATAACTTTTAAGCTAAAAAGCGCCTTAATAGAACTATCCTTTAGATTCTTCCTCTAACTATCTATTAACTTAGTAGGCCGTGCCCTAGTATAGTATAGAATTTAGTAGTAGCCCGCTAGCTAGATATAATAGCGCTTAAGGGTAAAGGTACTAGCGTTATACGCTATATTAAAGGTTAAGATAGCCTAGAAGCTATATATATTTATAACTAGCTTACTATTAACATTAAGCGCTTAGAGGCTAAACTAAGGAACTAAGATATTATAGTAATACTAATAGCGCGTTAGTAAACTTAGGAATTAAATATAATATAAGGTAGCACGTTAAGGGTACCTTATAGACCTCTTTACTATTATTCTAGTCTATATATCGTTTAGTAATAATTATATAAAGCTACTAGAATTAATATATATACTCTTTTAATATACCTTATAACTTAACCTTATAATTTCTATAAATAAAAAAAAAGAAGTCTATTATACTTTTATAAGCTAGGTTTTAAATTATCGCCTTCTATTTATTAATCTAATTATTAATATAGTACCTATATCGTTAAGTTTAGCCCTTAGTCTAAATACCTAATAGGGATAGCACGATATACCGCGTCTATTTTCTAAAGATACTAGTAATATTAATCTTTATTTTATCTAAGTACTTCGGCTTAACGAAACGAACGACGTATAGCTACTTTCGGTTTCTAGCATACTCCTCTACTAATAACGGCGCTAGCTTTACGACTCTCTCGCGCTCTCTAGCGGTAAAACGCTAAAGGAAGTCAAGGTGATGCTCTAGGGGAGCGTGCGCGAGGGGGTGTCGGGCGATGGCGGTCGATATAATTATAAGTAGGTTTAGCGAGAAGGTGCAACTACCAGTATTAAGCGTTCGAATAGGGGCGTATCCGCTATTTATAGTAGATAACGGCCATACTGGCTGGCTAGCAACGCGGCATTCTGCCTAGGCGGCTATAGTTAGACTTCTCGAACGAGGCAGGCCGAGGGACTAAGCTAGGATTAGTGGCTCCTTAGCGAGGGGATTGTGGGCCGGCGTGGCACACAGCGCTTAGAAGTACACAGTACCTGGCAAGGCCCCGCTTCTAGCTGGTGTGCCTCGTGGCTAGAGCTGCTTAAAATGGCGGCATAAACCTCCGGATTGGGAGGCTCTAGCAGCGCTTCTTGCATTTAAATTAAAAGTAGGTGGCTATATATACCTATGGAGATTATCCTTAGATTATAGGCCTAGCTATAATCCCTAACGTTAGATCGCATAGAGCGCAGTGATCTCGTTAATCCTAGATCGCTTAGATCTCTGCGATCCCCTCGATCCCGTACCTATTAGATGGTCGTGCCGACTATTTATCCGTTAGACCGTGTCACGTGCTTAACGCGGTCGACCGTTAGCGGCCTAGTGGCCGTGGTCGTAATACCAGGACTACTAATAGGAGCCTAGATCTAAGTAATAATATAAAAAAAATTACCCTCTTTCCTTAATATAAAGACCTAGTAACTAGTAATAGCTGGCCCGTATATATACATGCGGGATCCGGCCCTCCGCACGTGACTACACGACTTGGGCCGCAGCCCAAGCCTATAGTCTATAATAGTCAAAGACTCTAGCACTGTCTATTTATAAGTCTGCCTCCGTCGATCGCCGCCCAGAACCGTGGGACCCATCAGCGAACTCAACCCCACCTCACCCGCGAGGTGGTAACTACGCACTGCGAACGGCCGTCCGCCCAAGAACGGCGCCCTGCACCCCTCGGCCCAACGCTCTCGTTGGAGACACCGGGGGCACGCTTTGGCGGCCCACCACCGGCGGGGTCGGTTACAGATCCATCGGCGTCGCAAACCCATGCGCGTCGGTGCGTATCCTTCCCGACCCACGGATTTCCAGGGCTCGCGTTCGTCCAGTAGTCCCTGTGCTCGGCCGCCCAAGGTGTCATGTCCCCTCCATAAGCCATTCGTCGGCTCGGCAGTCGGCGCCCAGATCCCGAACGCGGCTGGAACGGGGCCGGGGGGACGCGTATCCCAACCGGGTGGCATAACCTGGCCGCGCCGTCGTCGGACATCTGGTTGTGGTGTAGATCGTACCACCAGCCTCGTTCCGCATCCCGACAGAAGTGCAACAACTCAAACCCACCGTCCCCGTGGCACATGTACACGAGGGATGGGAGCCCCTGCCGGTCGCAGTACGACCTCCCGTCCCAGCGGTCGCCCTTCGAGCCGGCCCCTACGCCCCACGGAGCAGCCGTGAGCGTTAGGTCGGCGGTGGAGTTCCCCACTCCTACACCGACGTCTTGGACGGCCAGGTCGGGTCGAGGGTGACCGTACACGTGCCACCTGGAGCCTGTATAGCTGAACCACCCCCAATCGTGACGCTTGGGTCCGCCTTTCCCTTTCCCCCACCCGCGACCCGGCGCCCTGACGCTGGTGGGGCGGCAGTCGTGGAAGAGCCCAAGCCCCTCACGCCATGATATGCCCGGTTCCCCTGAGGTCCCACCGCAGAAGGAGGCATAAGTGAGGTGTCCGCCAGTCCAACACGCCAGGACTACGTAAGGCTTCCCGCCCGGCATGCAGGTAGTCTCCCATCCGGATATATCCCTGTCGGGGATCCGGTCTGCGCTTGATGTCGGCCCGTCGGCACACTCCTCCAGCTTCCGTGCCGGTCTTCCCCTGCTGCGGCGGCCCACCGGCACCGTGTCTGCCTCGAGCACAACCTTGCCCCCCACACACTCGAGGGGTTCGGGCGTGTCGTAGGGAAATGGAGCCCAGAGGTTGCGGCGCCCAACCGTGAAGGTCAGGTTAAGGGGCTCCTGATGTTTGTGTGAGTAGTCCACTCCGACGCTTGTTCCTAGCACGGGCAGTCCTCGGCCACTGGACCCGACCTTAGCATAACTGGCGCTTGGGACGCGCACCCCCAGCATGTGACAGTATCCGGCGGCCCCGAAGTCGGCCAGCTGGTTGCCGAACAAGTCATACCACCAGCCCCGTTCGGCATCTCTGCAATAGTGCGCGAGACTCGGCGCTCCGTCCAGATTGCACAAGTATACCATCGAAGGCAACCCCCGCATATCACAGTACGACTGCCCCCCGTGCTCCTGCACACCTTCATGGCCGCCCGCCAGAGCTTCCGCGGCCAGCCTGGCCCGATCGGCCTTGGATGGAACGTGAGCCTTCGGGCCGTGCATGCCCCGGTCGCCCGATGGCCACCCGTAAGGCGTTGCTCGAGTCTCCGGTTGCACCAACCAACGGCGGACCGGTCCCGCGACTCCTTTCCCAACAATTCCGGGCGTGTAGCCCCTGTTAGGTCCCAGTACGTCCACTATCCCGCACCCGTATCCAATTCCGTGGCCGTCCGAGATTGCCCCATTCGGAGTACCCATAATGACTGAGCCATTCACGGTGCAGATCGAAAAGTACCCCCAGCCACCGGGGATGGCACATGTCAACACGGCATAGGCGACTCCCGCGGCACTGCACGTGTGCTCCCACACCTTTGCGTCGTTCCACCACGAGTACACCGGAGTGGCGGGGGGCGCAACACCCCTGGCCAAGCCCACGAGCGCCAGCATGGCAACTACGCCCGTGATACGCCGCTTCCAGTCACCCGTCGCCGCACCGAAGGTGGCCCCGGGACCGCCGTGTACAACGAACTCCCTCGAAGCGATACCCGGCGGGGTTCGGTCGGCGCCAGACCGAACTGGAGTCCCATTCGCTTCCGGGGTACCGCCCCTACAGGCTTGCACGGGAGACCGCGCCCCAGTTCGTATAGCGCCGGGTGGCACCGCTACATCGTTCCCACTCCCCGGAATCCCCCCACCGCGGTGCTGGGTTTTCACTCGACAGGTAGGCCCTTGGCCGACCCTCTCACCAGATCGCGGGTAGGACTCGATTGTCATCTCGTCGCTTCTTGGTCGCTTTTCCGTAAATCTTTAGGCGTTCACCTTAATTACTAACCTATGAAAAAGAGGTAAAACTAGGTGATATTTGTGCCATTTAAGGAGCTTAAGGTCCTATATTTCAAAGAATTTTAGATAAGCGGTTTCTTAAAGTCCGAATCCAATACTTAAGCTGTCTTAATTGAAAGTAGATGACAGGCAAAATACATCCGAAGCCTGCTGTTGATCATTCTTTATACTCGGAGAACTATGCGCTCTCTTAGCTTAAGCAGGCGTCTTACTTGGCATAGAACGGACGTCTAGTTCCGACAATTTTTGCAACAGCGTTAGTAGTAGGGAGAATACCTAGAATAAAGGCTAGTAATAACGCTAGAGGGTTTTAAGAGTAGTCTATCTATATCGAACATACTAGTTAGCGAATAAAGAAAAGATTAGCACAGTTTGGAATGCCGAGGCGAGGAGGCTGCTAGGTAACGGAGGGACAACGTCTATAGAAGTAAGAATCTTAATTAGCGGGCTATCTAAAATGGTAAAGGCGGAGCCTAACCTAAGGTGACATGGATTAAGGAATGTGATATTAGCTAAAAAGGAATGTGATATTAGCCAAAATTTGCTTGCTTAGCAGAAGCCCCGGGATGGCTCCGGACAGACAGGTTCGGACAGACAGATTACAGAGATTATCGCGCTAAGCATGGGTTAAAGGCCATCGCGCCTCGACTACAGCCCAAATAGGATAACCGTCAATTGCCCCTTGCTAGGTGCGCGTCGCAATAAGAATCGCGTCCTTCAATTGACCAAGCTCAATGGAGATCGGTAGAGAACCAGTACCGCGACAGCCTCCATCAGTACCCTGCATTTCCAGCGGAACGACTCGTGCGGCCTGCCACGTGAACCGCATTTGGCTTGCAGTCTAGGCCGTCGCGAGCATCCGGTTCGTACGATCGTAGGGCTCAGCTATTGCTAGGGCCATAAAGCCCTTCAAGTCCTCGTTATTCTAAGTTGGACCGTGTCTCGCTTGCGTACGTTAAGCTAGAACACACCTAGCTTTCTATGCATTGGGCTGTGGGCTGCGCACTCGCTAGTTCTGGCTGAGCGGCCTTTTGCTCGGCTCGACCACATTGCACCCCTATCTACGGTGATGCCCTGGGTTCGCGCATCTATCGCAGGTCTCCGGCTTCTTGCATAAGAACGCCTGGTGGCCAAGTCTTGACAGTTATAGCACGGCCCCGGCTCCTTGCGCGGCTTCTTTGACCCCTCTGTAGTTCGTTTTCGTCCCTGTATATGATCTCGGCAAGCTCTGCGTTCCGTGCCTCTCTCACGACTGCCGCGCACCTCCACGCTTCACGACCTACATTTGCCCTTATCTCGCCCTCAACTGCTTGCCGTGTCTCTCTCTCTTACCTGTTCTCTGCCTCTGTTCCGGTCTTTAACTTGTGGCGTGTCGATGGTGCAGCAGGTATAGCGTGTCGCTGAAGGATGATGTCGCGCGCGTTGATGGGATGCGCACCTCTAGTACGCCAAGAGAAACGACAATCAAGGGTCCAAGAATCCGCTATCAGGGCAAAGAACTGTTCGCTATCGGGATAGTGACATTCTTCATATTTCGCCGGCCCCTAGATTAGATCTATAATTTTCTAATCAAGCGTTGCAGCACCTCTGTCCGAGCTTATTTGTGCGACGATCCTTCAAAGAGCGGGCGGTATACAACCTCTTTATGGGCAATTGGCATAGTTAGAGGACGGCGAGTTCATTAAAGGGTCAGGTATCTGCGGTCCAGCCGGCGACGGAACCGGCCTGCTCTATTAAAGAACCCGAAAGCTGCTAAATAGCGCCCCCTTTCATCCGAGATCTTTGCCCAGCCCAATTCGATTTTTTTTTCTAAGCTTATATAGGACCGTCGAGCTATGGGGTGGCTTTATATTCGTTTTCGTTTTCGGTCGTCGACGGCAACGGTAGATGTCTGCGTCACTCAGGGTTCCCGAAGCCGTTGTTCCCTAGCGCAGAGAATCATCGATTCGTCGAGGAAGCGAATCTCGATTCCCACTTAGGCCAACATTCTTGCCTGTAATCGTAGCGGGGATAGATACAGGCGTCATCAACCTATGCGAGCAGTTTCTCGTACCCAGGTAAATTAGGTCATCGTCCGCTTGTAGCATTTTAAAACTCGGAGGCCTCGGTGCGTTTGACGTTGGTGAATACAGGGCGTCATCGTCGTGTTTAATGTAGGTAAAAACAAAGGAGCCGAAGGTAGGTGTAACGGGTTGGGATACCTAGGGGATGGCTAGGCAGAGGGTGCGGGGCGCGTTGTGGTTACGATAGTGTCGAAGTATTCGTAGCTATACTAGACAAAGGAAGAGGGCGAAAGGAAGTGGGAGACGTGAGGTCTCGGAGTCGTCTGTGAGAAAGACCAGGAGCCGAAACTTGCATAGCCAAACCGCGTCCTTCGGAACGCCCTTCAGCAACGTTACTTTCAGGTACACGCGCATGCACTTTCAGTTGCAAGTAGCTTATATCAGCTGCCATCAACACTTCTTATCGAGAGTGCCAACCAGGCTGATGTTCTCGCGAAGAGAGATGCGAGAAGTGCATGTAAAATGCACGAAGGTGAAATTAGAAGTAAGGGGTCGGACAGGCAGAGCAGAGATGTTTGATTCTTGCGGGGGCAGCAATTGCGGCAGGGGAGTGATTGTTGTATTGCCTTAATTGTCCTTCTTTCCTCTATCCAACGCCCCTCTTTATACCCGTCTAGCATCTCAATTTACATAAAAAATCCTGCTTAAAGAAGCCACTAATGTCCTCTTAACTACCGAGCTTTTTGCCGGTTTTCCCCTCCTTTCTAGCCGTTGCCGGCATATCTGTCTTATCTCTCGCTACCTCTATAGGAAGCTATCGCTACTTTTGCTTCCCCTCTTGCCCCTACCCTCCTCTCTACACCTCCTTTTAGCTCCTTCTTCTAAACCGGTTTTTTAGCTTCCTAGGTCCCTCTTACTAAGGGATATCTCCGAGAACTACGAAATCAGGCTACGCTTCGCGATACACCCCCTTAGCTATAGCCTGCCCTTATAGAGAGGGTAAAGCTAAATAACTAGGTCGGTGAGCGTATAGAGGAGGTCTTAGTCTATACTTATCCCCTACTCGAGAAATCCGGGTTTTAGCCCCGGGCTCTTTTAGACCTACTTTAGGAAAAGGGGCCTAAGGAGGAAATTAAGTCCTATAAGAAAGGGGGGCTTCTCTAAGGATAAGTCCTTAAAAAGGGGGCCTTTAAGAAGAATAAGTCCTAATTAAGTTAGGGGCCCTCCTTTAAGATAAGTCTTAGTTCTTCTCTTTAGCTATAGACTTTACTTTCTCGTATATGCTATTAGCTCCTCTCGTAGACTCTTAAGGCGGGCCTCTAAGGATAGCTTCTTACGGACGTCTTCTAGCTTAATTTACTATAAAAAGATAGCTAGCTTCTACTTTAGTAGGGGCTTTATAAGACCGTTAGCTTTTATCGTTACTATTAGAACCTAATAAACGGAAATAAGTCCCTTTTAGGCTTCTTAGCGTAACTAATACTAATAGATATCGATATACTATAGCTAGGTTAATAGCTTACTATTTTCTATAAGAATTTATATAGTTTATATATTATCGTATTCTATAGATAATAGGGTCGGAATTTATAGTTATAGATATATTAGTAGCTAGCTAGGGAAAATCGCTTCTTTTAACGCTTTTAAAAGAGTTAGTAGCTCTACCTTTATACTAAAGGTTATAATAGTAGCTTACTATAAAGCTTTTTAGGTAATAGTTCCTCTTTAAAGGGATATAATATACCTTTATAAGCTCTTTCTATCTAAGGAATTATTTATAAAGGACGAATCGCTTAAATAGAGGAAGATTTTAGTAGCTAGTTTCCTTCCCTACCCTTCTAAGCGTAGACTATATAATCTCGTTAAATAAAGATAAAGGATAGCTTGGTCTACTACTTCTTAGTGCCTAGGGCTAGGATTTTAGTTATTCCTAGCTAGCTAGGAGACCGTAAAAGAGATATCTAGTCTAGTTAAAATAGCTAAAAAGTATAAGGAGCCTACCTTTTATTAATATTAGTGTTTCTCTTACTCCCTAGCTTAAAAGGACGGATTAAGTAAAAGCTCTTTATTTAATATAGGCATAAAGGGAAGCTTATTATTAAGGGAATTAAGAAGGAATTTATAAGCGACCTTATTAATAGAAGCGTCCTAAGTAAGCTAGATAGTTTATTCGGATCTATTTTAAAGGATTTATATCCCTAGGAACTACTTTAGCTCCCTTAGCTTAGTTATCTTATACCTTTATTATAAGCCTTATATAGCCTTCTTAGTAGTTACTTCTTCCTCTTTTAAGTAGGCCTAGATAATATTATCGATATAAAAAAAGACTATAATTTTACCCTTTTATATTATATATAGTTCCTAAAGGACTTTCTTAAAGCCTAGGGCTTTAAGGGAACCTATTAATACTATTACTAAAAAAAGGGTAATCTTTATAGTCTATATAGAGCTTTCCTAAGCTATAAAACCTTTCTTAGTTATTAGAAACCAAGTAGAAGGTATATATAAATAACTTCTTCTTCCTTAAGTAAGTAGTTAATAAAAGCGTTAACTATATTTATTTAATTAAGTTTAAGGTCGAATTCTATTACTATGGCTATAAGGGTTTAAAAAGATATCCTTACTAAGGTAGTCGCCTTAGTAAGTAGATCCCCCTTTTCCTATTAATTCCTATAGATAACTAGCTAGGCCTTATACTTTTAAAGGAAGCTATATCTATTAGTCTTATAGATAAAGACCTACTTATAGCTAAGGACTTATTTTCCTCTTACCTTTTCCTTAAGGACCTCTTTAAAAGACCCTATTTCTTTATATAAAGCTAGATAGTCTTTCTAGGCCTAGAAAAACTAGTTTTTATAAGGGTATCTTTCTAGCTACTTTTAGTTTACTAGTAGGTCTAAGAGGTCTCTTTTATATACCTTCCTTATT